TGAGATATGATAAATCAAACCAACCTGAGATGAAAGCCAAAAAAAAAATCACACTTCTGCCTAGAGGAAAAAAAAACCCCAAAATCAACACATTCTTAAAATATCATAAACAAAAAAATATATATCTTACTAAATTATCAATGATTCAATGAAAACCTTGAAAACAATTAATTGACTAAATTGAATAATTATAAAAGTACAAGACTTAAAGTCTAGCATTCAAAACTATAATGACTAAATTTGATAGAAAGTTACCCGCATCTCAAAATTGCAGTGGACAATACCGACACCATCTTTCAACTAAAATAATCTTTTAGTCATTATAGTTTTGAATGAGTGATCAATGCGGCCCTCCATTCGCTTCCATTTATTCTCGCCGTTAAAGTTCAGGTGAGAAGCGCTTCCATCACATATTTCGAATACAAATGAGAAAGAGAATGAAAGTAACGTTCAAAATGGATGCCAATGAAATCACAACAAACCTATCAGCAATCATGAGCCCCATACAACATAGGAGAGGGAGACACTGCCAGTTTTTCCCAAGAAAGAAGCTTCATTAGCACGCAACTGCAATGCCTTCACTGCATGTTTACCCGAATTTGCTCGTACAACTCTTTATCATCTTAGTGTTCCTCACAAAACAATTTTCAAAACACCTTTACACCAAATCACAAATAGCTGATTATTGTTAGGAGGAACGGTCAAACAATCAAAGCAATCATTTATCAACATCATGTTTACCTACAATCAACATGTAAAAGGAAGGAAAAAATAAAAAATAAAAGCAAAATAAAATCCTTTGACTATTTATTTAAGCCACCAACTGTTCAAAATAAATTAAGAAACATTAGAATGAGATTTATTTATAGACAATAAAAATCCTTTTGAAGTACATTAGAATTAGAATGAGCATTCTTTATTTTGGAACCAACCCATAAAAATATAATCTAACTAATAAAATGATAGTAAATGTTTACCTATATCCATATGATGAATGCTAATTTGAAGGAGCTCTGCAAATTAAAAATCAAAGGCCAGAAAAAAAATCAATGAAAAATTAACACTAAAAAAATCGAATGTTATTTTTAAAAAATAAGATTATCAATTAGAATTAATCACTTCAATTGCATGCATTCTTAGATTACAAATAAAATCATCATCATAATCAATTTCACCAATAATAATAATAATAATAATACACAACGAAGAGATTAGATTAACCACAATGCTAAAAAAAAAAAAATCTAAAAATTAAAGTTAAAAAAAAAAAAAAAAAAAGACAGATAGTCATAATATGGGCATTCTAAAGTATGTGGATCTTTTTGTAAATCTTTAATTTAATTCCTTCAAGATCCGTTTTGATGTCATCTCTTCTTATCAGCCTGCAAAATTAAAAATAAAAACACATAATTCATCATCATTACCAACAACTCTCTCTAGATCGATCCTCTCAAGAAAATCACCATAACTAGAAAAAAAAAAAAAAACAAAAAAAACAAATTAAAGAGAGTTGTACTAGATAGATCCTCCTTCTAAAAAATAATGGTTTTTGTAGAGATCTAAACTAAGTGATTCTATGACATCAATGTGAGTTCAGATCTTTTTGGTGTACCTAGGACTATAGTGAGATAAATAGTGGTAAACAATATATATATGGGGTAGAAATATAAATTTTTAATTTATTTTATCTTTTATAATTAGTAAAAAATTATCGATAAATTCCTTTGAATTATTCGTAATATTACTATAAGCTTGCAAAATATAAGTTATAAAATAGAACTTAAGATTTAAATGTAAAATTAGCAGCAAATTTTTTCATTAAAATTAGACTTCAAGAAATATAATTATGGATAAATTCCTTTGAATTTCCATTTGTTTTTTTTTCTTATTTCTTTAATTATATAATTCCATAAATTGAAAAGTTACTCTAAGCATGAACTCATGAGGTTATGACGGTGGGATGTTTATGTAACAAAATAAAAAATAGAGGACTCAATAAATACGAAAAGGAGTAGGAGGTCCTAATCAAAAAATTAAAAGAATATAGGGACCAAATCCTATTTTGTAATAATAATGTTTTCCTTGATGAGTAAATTTCTTCTTGCATTTTTATTTTTAATAAAAAATAATAATAACTTAGAGAATGCATCATAATTTCTTAAGCTGAATTCTGATTGATTTCTTATTAGGAAAATTCCTTTTGGGTTAGGAAAAATCCTTTTACCCAAAATATGGTGCACGTACATGTTTGCGTTGTATAAATTATTAATTGTTTAAATATTAAGAGTATTTTTTTAGGTCAGTTTTTGGATAGAAATATTAAGTTTTTTCGATTGAATTTTATACAAACCATTTACACTATAATGCATTTGGAATAATTTTTTTTTCAACTTCTCTCGAGATTTGAGAGCAGAAATTAAAGTTGATTTGGAGGATTTGCTTCTAATTAAGCTATGGTGGTTTATTAAAGTTTTGAATTTTAGAATTAGGAATAAATAGTAAATTTGCTTTAGTAGTTAATTGATGCTTCAAACCAATTAAATTTAGGCTAAAAACATCATTTTTCTATCAAATATTAGAATCTATAATTATATATTCTTAAAATGAACTCATGCACACAAGCATATGGTCACCATTTCATATCTAAGTCAACTAGTTCTCATGGTATGTGTATTATTTAACTAATCTATACTCTAATAGAGTGTTTAACTAATTTATTCACAAATGAATAAAATTGAATATTTATTAAAAAGATATATTTTTTATTTTCAAATACAATACTATATAGTTTAGGAGTATTAAAGTATCTTAATTTATGCTATTTAGAGTTTTATGTAGTGTATTAAAAAAAAAAAGAATTAACCTATATTTTAGGGTTCATTATTAAAAAATAGCCTATTTTTAAAGGATTAACATTTTTTAAAGAAATTTAACAATATTGGTCTTTTTAACCAGAGAAGGAGTAAAATTTACTTATCACTATTAGTAGCATATTATAACTAGACGATCACCCTACGCATTCGAGGATAATACTAAAAAATCTAACTTATGCATAAAATAAATATAAATATGAATCCAAGGTCTATCTTAGTAAAATTAAAAAAAAAAAGCACATAGTTTTAATTTGATAAAATAAAATAAAAAATATAATAATAAAAACACTACAAAGAAAAAAATTATGCTGAACTGAGTATTAAATAAAATTTGTAAAAAAAAAAAATAGACACAACGTACCTGACATTAAGTAAAAATGAGCAATAAACGCATATATATAAAACTTCAATGTCAATAAAAAAAAATTAAAATATAAATTTGGTCTATATATATATATATATATATATATTAAATTTAAGGCTTTTTGATAAACTTTAAAAATTTATCTTTTTAAAAGCTTTTTGATTCTGGTACTGCCATGTAAAATATGTGAGTGATTTTTTTTTTTTTTTGTTGATAATATCAATGTTAGATAAATTAATATTGGATTAAAAATAAAATTAATTTCAAAAGTATCATTCTTAAATAATAAAAATTAAATTTTAATAGAATTATTTTATAATATATATATATATATATATATATATATATATATATATATATATATATATATATATATATATATATATATATATATATTAGTTTTATAATATTCAATCCATATTTTTAAATTTTTAAATTTAGTTTTAGATTACCTTTTAAAAAACATTGTTTTGGGGTATGCATATACGAGCCTTTTGATTCTATCTCAGAATTTGATAACAAGGATTACTATTATTTTTATTTTTTATTATTTTATTTTATTTTATTTGTGTACCTCAAAACGAGACCTTTAATTTAACTTGACAAGTAAGTGTTTAATTGATTTGTACATATTACTTGGGGAATGGGATTTCAAAAATCATGGTTATAAAATAAAAACATCACAACGCCAAAGGACTTAAGACATACTGAGGATCCATATGGACATTTAACTGAAACTAGTAGTACATTGTTTCCATCAAAAGCCACGAATTGAATACAAATTCCTTGCAAAAAAAAAAAAAAAGTATAATTTGTTCTTCTCCCTTGCTGGGTTCACTGGATAGGAAACCAAAAAAGCCCAATGCATTCATGATTTCACAAAAGTCTATTCACAATAGCCCAATCCAAGAACTAAAAGGCAATATATATATATATATATATATACACACACAGTGGGTTCGAGACTTTGCTCATGTCATGTCATGCCATGCCGTGCAATTTCCAGAAACTGAGAAGAAATTGGCATTAAATGACTTAATGACCAAAATGACATAACGGTGCTTAAGAATGAAGTAAAACTAAATGCTATGAAAAGTTGGTAGACGGAAGTGTGAACTTACACATCCCAGACTTCCCTTTCCTGCCTTCATTTGCTCCTATATCCAATGAGTAAGCTCACCAGTTTACTAGGTGTCCAAAATCTAGCAGACCTTTCCAAAAATATCTATCCACTCCCCCTCTTCTGCCACTCTGTCCTTGCTTAACTAATCACCACATAAATGCAATAACCTTCTTTGACAGTGACTTTTAGTTTTTTCTATGGTAATCTCATCTCTACTTTATTAGTCTTTTTATTTTATTTTTTCATTTTCATTTTTTATATTAAATTTAAATAAATAAATTTTGAAATAAAAATAAAATAAAGTTACATATTGTTACTCTCTTTAAAAATTAAAAATAAATAAAAATTCATGTTGTGGGACAAAAGGATTTTAAAAGAAATAAAAAGCATGTTGTGGAAAATAACTTTTATCGTGGAGTCCTATTATTGGATGTGGATATTCTCCATCCATGGATGCTCTGTGTGTGTGTGTGTGTGTGGCAACGCAGGAACCCGATAAATTCTTCGTTCTCTCTCTCTCTCTCTCTCTCTCTCTCTCTCTATCTTGTAATAATAATCTCACGCAACGCAATAAAATAAAGAAATCGTTTCGCTAGATAACACTTCGAAACGTTTCCATTTCATTATCAGACTCTTAACTATGGGAGGAGGAGGAGCGATGAGAGCAGCGGCTAAGGTGGCCGGAGTTGGAGTGGTTAACTCTGGAATCCGCGGCGGCATCTCTTTCGTTCCTCCATCGGGGGAGCAGTCGGTGCGCAATGCTTCCCGTCCTGTTTCGGCGATTATATCGTCCAAGGCGAGTGGAGGAGGGGTCACGGAGACGGTGCAGAGGCCCGCGTGGGAGCTGGACGAGTGGGAGTTCGCTGGTGGGGTGGAGGAGGAGATGTTTGTGGATTCGGGTGAGCCGGCAGCTAGAGTTGTTTTTGGTGGTGCACCACCGAGTTTGCAGGAGGCTAAGGCGGCTACTTGTGAATTGAAAGATGCGTTGCAGAAGTAAAGTTTTGATCTTTATTGAAACTTTAGCATTTTATTTGCCTGTTTTTAATTTTACGTGATTAATTTTTTTTTTTTTTTAATTCTGTAGAAATGATTTATAACTATTAGGATTATTGAAATTCTATTGGAAGTGTAGAGTTTTGACATTTCTGACTTTTGGTTTCAGTTTGTAGAAACTGTGATTGATTGTAAGAGAAGAAATGAATTGGAAGAATGAAAATTTAAATTCTTGTTAACAAATCCTGCCTTGTTTTCTTTGTTTGGTTGTTGAATTTATGGAGGCAATAGGGTTTCACTTTATTTTTTCTTTTTATTGAAAAAATAAAATATTTGATGGCTTTGGGATGATTTTTTTTCGTTTTTTGAATCATGGGATTTCACGAGATGCAAGTTTCTGCTTGTTTTTCTTATTACATGATCAAAGCAATGGCTTATTGTTTGCATTACACTGTGTTGCTTATATTGTTACTTACGTTTATTTTGTGTAATCATTTGTTTTAAGTTTAAATGGTTGATTGACCTATGCATTCTGTGTGCGTGGGGCTGTGTGTGATTGATTTTGGCCGGAATTTGATAGAGTGCCACTTCTGATTGCCTTTTATAATCGTTTGTGGAATGTGTTGTTGTGATTGTTCCCTTGTCAATTGTGTTTTCAATTGAATATTCTCTTGTATACTTTTGAGATATGAACAAGGCAGACAGGGTAAAAGAAGGCATGGATAGATAGCGTCTTGAGTTTGATGTAACTTCTGAGTGCACGTGGCCAAATTGTGTGGTCATCAGAAATTTCCAGTACACATGCTGACGAAAAGCTATGGTTCTTCTTCTCCTTATGGGAAGCTTCCTGGCATTTAAATATCCTCATGCGTCTGTGTCTGTGTCTAATCTCTTTCTCCCCTATCATTGCACTTTCATGGCGAATGTAGTTGCGGAAGTGTTAAATATTATGGAACTGAGGTTGCATTTCTTGGACTGCTGGAATTATATCAAATGTCGTGTTTGGGGAATGTATGTTCCTTGATGTTTACTTCTTTCATTTGCATTTGAATAATTTTGCCGCATTAAGGATTCAGAGATTCTATATTTCTTTTTCAGAAATATCAGGCTTATTTGTCTTATGCAGATCATCTCAGTTTATTGATTTCCTAGATGAGTTTAGTTGTTAAACTTGGCACTTTCAGTGTTATACCAATTTGGCTAAAAAGTTTGTGTGATGTTTTGTTTGAAGTTGTGGAATATCTGTGTCGCCATTTCTTTCACTATCTATGCCATTAATTTTATTTTTTTCTTTTTGTTCCTTATTTAATTCTGGTGGCACGAAATGGTTTGTACCATTGTTTAACTTTATAATCTCTGTACTGAACTGGTTGTTATTCACAGAGTATATCTGTCACCTCCTTACTCGGGAACTGGCAGTTCACATGGAGGTAGTCAGCTATCTGGCCTCCCTTTGCTCACAAACACTGACTTTTTGGAAACTAAAGGTTGTATTAGCTGTGATCCAATTGGAGCTCCCGCACCAAAATATGCTATGCAGGCATTTTCATTGCTTAATGAAAGTCCTAAAGTTCAGGTTCTTATACATGTCTCTGTCCCCCTCAAGTAGTGTGTTCTCCTATTGCTTAGACTATTTTGTATTCCTTATGAGTTCGTTTGACCATACAGTTGCTTGTAGTTGAACAATTATGTTTAAAATTGTTTTGCTCATACAGAATGAAATTAAGCTTCAATTATGTTTTTGTTGTGATTGATGTTGTTTGACATTGGCAGCTGCGATTGTTTTCCAGGCTTAGCTTCAAGAACATGAAGCTGTCAATGCATTTCAAAAACCCATCATTTCTTACATCCTGGATCATGCAGAGAATATGGAACTGATATGCTGCTTTGTTTTATCAATTATAAGCCCCTATAATAATACTTAAGGACTTACCGTTTTATTGGATTTTTTAAGGGCACTTGGAACATTTTAAAGTGTGTTTTTTATGTTCTATCTTTGTGTCCAACATACCTTGTTTTAAAATGCATTGCTGTTGATTGATGAAATCAGCTTATGGGACTATAGTTCACTGATCTTAATATTATACCCAGAATGTTGTTGCTGCCCTTGCTTCCGATCCAAATGTCTGGAAGGCAGTTTTAGAAAACGAAGCCCTTCAAGATTTGCTCCAGACCCAGAATACAAGTAACTGTTCTCTTCTCTCTTTCCATCAACTTATGTCATTTTTTTTTTTTTTTTTGGGTTGATATTCCAGTTATCCATCTCCTTTACCTCTTGTATCTGAAGCCAAGGAATCTGTAGCAGATGCCCAGTCATCTGAAGCCAAGGAATCTGTTGGAGATGCCTGCTTTCAGGATGCAGTATCTTCAAGGCAGTTCACTGAATTATCTGATGATGAAAGTGAAGCTGGAAACTCTCAAACTGAACTCATGGATATTATCAACAACGTCAAGCATACTGTGGTTGACATGGTGACTAATATATCTGCTTACTTCAAGAGGATTTTTAGCTTTACATCTGCAGAGCACTCTCCTGCCGCTGATGGAAGTGCTGGAGCAACTTCGATTGAAAAGACCCTGGGAGCATCCCTCATGGGATTGGCAGTGATGGTTATAATGGTGGTTATGCTGAGGCGCCCTTAAAAAGTTAAATTTCCTGGCTAGCCAGCTTGTAAATTTGCCGAGTCTACAGACTTGTAACTTTATTTGTTGTTTTGGATGCTTAAATGGGTGATGAGATTGATGCCTAAAAGTTAATAGTTATTAGCATATTAGCTTGCCTTCTTAGCTAGCGAATGGATGTGTTCAGATTTTATAGGTAGCAATGGTTTTTAAAATGATCATGTTTGAATAATTTCAGTTTTATTTTTCCATCATACTCCATTTCAACCGTTGTTGTTGACCTCGGGCAGTGGTCGTGCAAGGGCCCCTGTTCTGTTCTCAACCTATAAGTGTCCAGTGTCCATTCTAAGTTGTCTATTTCAGTTTAAGAGGTTCTTTGTTAAAGCACGACAGCCACGGCATTTTTAACTGTTCAAAATGGAAGGTTTTGATGTAAATATGAGAAAGCAACTTTATCCTTCTGAAGCAACCACTTCTTGCATTAGTAATCACTCTTTTGGATGAACAGATAAAAAAGAACACTGACAAAGACTATATCCAACTCTTATTTATATTCCTTGAATAACTGAGTAGTTGTGTCTGGTTACAATTCCAGTTCAGTTCATGGTGACAACTATTGCAAAACTCGTTATGCTATCGATGCACTACTTAGGTGCTATCAGTAAAATTGCTCAACTATTTATATTCCTCGGGAATACAGAGATCCAAGTACCATAAAATTGGCACCTGGAATGTCTTATTTGAACCTACAAAACTGAGCATGTTATATGAATACATTAGAAGCTCGAGAAACAAGCACCAGCAGATGGCCATCTTCATCGTTTGGGCAGAGTGGAAATACCCCATTGAAGTACGACCATCTTATTGTCCCATTTGGAATTGGATTTTCATACATGGTTTCTCTGGTTATACATCGCTACTAATGAACAGAATGTCCTCCTTTTCCAGATGCATCTTTCCTTTGTCTCTTTTACTTTTTACTGGTGTCCGGTTTGGTTGGCCTCGCTGAGAAGAACAAATTTTACTTTTTGTAATTGAGGAGACATGTGGATCGTTGCTACTCAATCAAGGAATAAACATATATACTAATATGCTTACCTTTTTCAAGACAAATGCCAAGTATAAATAAGCTACTTCCCACTCATCCGGTGATAGTGTGCCTTGATACCAAAGGGCACAGAGACACAAACATCAGCATGAACAATAGCTCTCCTATCATGCAACAAATTCAAAGAAGCAAAAAGATGAAAAGCAAAAACTTACTGAGGTCCTGGTTCCCATCACCTAAAGCGCCAAGTCTTCGCATTAACTCAACATTCTCAGGTTTCTTCATATTTTCGTGCACAAACTCATGATTATTCTTCACAAAAACCAGCTCAAAGTCATACTGCCAAAGTTGAAAAAGCAAGTGTACATAGTAAGTTTCTATAGGTCCATGCTTAAAAAGCTTCATGCATAACCAGCTTTTAAAACCAGAGGAACAAATTGATAGCTTTGAAAAGATGTTCAAACCACAGGCTTCATTTCCTACACCGGGATCCAAAAACAAAAATAATTTTATACCTCTTCTGCCAAAGATTTGAAGACATTGATAGGGACAATCCATTCAGGACAGTCAACAGCATCCTGCAACAGAAACCATGGGTATTAGCATTAACTGGAGTTTGGAATGAGAATCCTTCACCTAAAGCTTAAAAATTGAACCAAATAACAAAGTAACAGAAGATTTGGAGTTTGTCATTTCTGATGGATAGATGGGAAGGGAATAATCAGGATTTCATCGTTCATGGCACGTCATAACTAATCAGGTGCTGCATAAAAGCACAAGTTCAATTGATGCAAATATACTTGGTGAGATATTGAGTATAGCATCTGTTTCCAGAGAAACTAGAGTTAGCTAAAGAAAACAAAAAAAGATAATGCATAAATACCTCTAAATGGAAGTTGTACTTGATACCAAAAGGGCTAGAAGATTTAAATTTCTGAACCACAGAACAATGAACTTGTCAGATCAGTGTATTGGGGTAAAGACCAAATGCCTTCAACATTGAAAAAGAACTCACCTTCTGAGAGAACTCTTCATCAAATCGTATCCAGTAGACACTATTACCAAAGATCAGTCCTTCGGCTGCATATTCACATGAAAAAAGAATCCTTTGTCATGAATGGTAGTCTTCCACGCACAGTAATCTTAATTCTTATATTGTAGAATTTGAAAATGGCTATTCTATGAGAATGCTTCACATGGATTAACTCTACAAGATCTAAATCAAACATCATCATCCCATGAACTTAAAAAGCCTGTTCCAATGAAGGTGCCTCCTGGCCTTTTATCTTCGCATAGGAAAAAAAAAAAGAAAGCATGTTATGTTTTTGGTTAAGATTCATAAATCTGATTTTTTAAGGTTTTTTTTTTTTTTTCCCCATACAAAAAATATTAGAAAGGCGCGAGACAAAAACCTTCTCTTAGTTTTTTTATGATAACGTTGGCATCTGGCATTGTTCCAATGAAGATGCCTCCTGGCCGAAGTAAGGCTGATATATTGGCCAATGCTCTTCGTGCACGTGCCTCTGTTGACCATGAATAGTGCAAAGCAAACTGCAAATTTTGTGTTGATGCTTCAGAACTAAGTAAAACCAGGGAGGGACAGAGAGAGAGAATCCGATGGATCTATATCCATGGTTTGCATAATTAACTGAAGAATTAGCATATAAGAATGGGAAGAGATTAATCCAGTCTGCCTGTGAAGCACAGACAAACTGAAAGTACATTACAGCAGAGACAAATGGAAAGGACAAATACTTTGGATATTAAGTTTGAAGCACCAGCTAGATCCTAGGTGTTTCTAGCCAAGTTATGCACTTTTAGAGAGAAAGATATGTCAAAAAAGAATATGAAAATTGGCGATTTTAGCATTTTCAAAATTCTAGAAAAAAAATGTTGAAAGAACATTGTGTTCATATATCACACCATAATATCCATAATCAAACAAAGCTGTTTGGAGTCCTGCAACATAGCTCAAAAGTCGGCATAGTTTATTGATGAATAGCTATAGATTCAGTGACAAATTGAATGCTTGACAGCTGCTTCAGCAGATATTGATTTGAGCATCATGTTACAACACCAAAACTCATTAAATTTTCAAAATTGAAACATTAATTATAGAAGTTGCGTCATTCACCTGACAACTGACAATATCAAAAGGAGCATCATCAGCCAGGACTTCATCCAAGCGAAGCTGAAACATATAAACTAAGATTCAGTTCCTTCTACAGATATGTCTATAACATAAATGAAACCAAAAATTGTTCATCAATTAAACTTTAGGAAGGCACATTCATGTTTCAACCTACTTGTTAAATACATATAATTCATATCAATATATCACACTTAATGTAATGAATTTGTCGATACACTAGCTGAATGCCTGAAATTACCTCAAAACAATCCCCGCATATAAGGCGGGCAGGAAAAGTGAACTTTTTGCGACGTTGATGGTGGTCTGCATCACCATTGTAACGCGTACGGCAATCTTCCATCTGTATTGACAATTGAACACACATAAATATCAGCCATTGGCAACATACATATGTTAAGCATAAAATTAGAAAAAATAGGAGATAGAAGATACCACATTTTAGTATTCAAGAATTGAGCATTAAACAGTATGAATAATTGTCTTCATGGTATCTCATAGCTTATATCGTATACTTGGAGATCTAAACTCATGCAATCACATGTATACAAAGCGTAGCCAGGCATTTAAAATTCAAAGCACCAATTACAAGGACTTTTTGTCGGTTCATTTTGAAAGAGAAGTCAATCTCTGGGTAGTGTGATTACCGAGCCTTCAGCTATGTCAATGCCAACATAATATCCCGCTTTTGCTTTATCCCATTTGATGAGATCACCACCCTGGAGAACAAAAGTTGACCTCAGAAGATAATTCCTAACTGAATATGGAGATCTAAAACTTCCAATGCAACTGATGTAAGGGATGATATACTTCACCTTCCCACAAGCAAGATCAAGAACAGCATCCCCTCGAGAAGTATATTGTTGAACTAAGACACTTTTTATCTGTTCAGAGATATGATTATGTTATTCAAACATTCTATCACAACTTCAGATATTACTCAGTACTGGAGCATGCTACACACCCAATTGTTAAGTTTCTTTAAGTGGATAATTGGACTTGCTTCTCGTTCTTCCAGAGTCTGATTTGTCCTGGCACTATAATGGTCAGCCACTCTCTGAACAAAATCATTGGAAAACTCTGCCTCGCCTGAAATTACAAAATTAAACCCACACCTTTCAGAATCCAAATCAAAGCAGGACGATAAAAAGGAAGTGTATTTAAAAGGCAATTACAATCCTAGATTCTTACTCACTTGGACCAGATACGACCAGGAACCAACATCATAATATTTCTAAAATCGAATTTTTTTCCCAGTTTTCTATAGGAAAAGAGCACAAAACCAAAAAACCAATCCCAGGTCCCAAAATCAATGCCTTAACCAAAAACAGCAAAGCAAATAGCAAACAAAACCTTTACAAACATAAAAACTGTCCAAGCAGTTCGGCTTATTTTTGCTTTGATTCTATTAGAAAAACAAAATACTGGCACAGAACTAAAATTCAATACTTAATCATCTCCATTCCAAGCAAATAAAAAGTAAAAACTAGCGACATACAAAACTCAAGTGCCAAAACAACACAAGAACAACATAACTAGTAATTAAATCCATTGGAACTGAAAAGTAGCAAAAACTTCCAACATTAAAGTTTCTAAACAACAAAAGCCAATGTCAAAAGCTAAGAACAAAACCGAAAAGAACAAGAAATCGAAAAGTGGGTTTTTAAGATTGTGTAACAGTAATTTCCTTCAGGGGTGTATTTCAATCTGGATTTAGGTGGGCCAGCAGCAGAAGAGTTCGAAGGCGAACCTGGGTATCCACGTTTCATGACAAATTATTGAAAAAAGAAAATAAATCGTTAGCAGTTATTGTTGTTTGTCGAAATAAATCCTTTTTAGGGTTCTAAATGAGAGAATTAATGAATATGGAGGGAGGGTTTAGTGCGTTTGCATAAATGGAGCTGTTTCCTTCCTTCTCTTTCTATAATAGGTAAAAAACAATTGAGACCTTCAAATATGAAGGTAGTTTCAATTGGTCCATTTACTATTTAATTATATCAGTATTGTACTTCACCCTTCCAAATTGTGCCAATCTAAGACCCTTAGTTGGTTGGATTGATTTTTCATAGATGCTAATGAAAATTAAACTCACTTTCATAAATAATTTTAAATTTTTTTGAAGTTGAATTTTTTTTTTGAACAATAAAAAATTGATAAATTATAAAAAATAAAAAATTAGCTGGAATATATATATATATAAGGAATTCATGTGAATTTATATAGGTAATATCATTGTGGTTTTCAAAAAAAATATAAAAAAATCATATATAGTTCCCAAAATTAAGTTATTTTAATATGTGTTTGCTCCTGTAAATATTTTGAGAATCATGTAAAGACCAAGCATGTAAATTTATATGTTTTTTAGGAACCAAACTAATTGGAATCATTACAAATTATTTTCTATTTATTTTTCAATTTTGCTAATATTTAATGTGTAAGAAAAAATAAAAAATGCTTCTTGCTTTAAATTTTTTTTTTTTTGAATTTTTATTAGCATATGTAAAATATTTCAGCTTAAAATACCATTTTAGTGTATGATAATAGTCAAATCAAATGATGGACATTAATTTTTTTTAAAAAAAATGATAATTTAAGGAAAAAAATTGATAAAATTGAGAACAATTTTTAATGTGCCACCCAATAAAAATATCAATAATTTAGAAGCAAAAATTGCTATTAAACTGTTTTTAATATATTATAAAGATAACTTACTCTCCATAAATTATGTTTGAAATTGGCTTTAACCTTGACCCATGGTGACCCAAAAAATCTAGAAAAATAGAAATATTTGTTAAGAGTTTTTAATATTAAAATTAAATGACTCGAACTTTCCATTAATGGCACATGAAAATTGGAGTAGTTCTCTGCCCCCATGGCTTCTAAAAGGTTGGTTCAATGGTGAAAATGCTTATCCTTCTCACACATGATTTGGATTGGGCTTATGCAATAGCAAGAGGCGGTGCCAGGGGCCCGGGGAACGCTGTACTGTGGCTCCCCAAAGTTCAAAATGTTCCTTTCTTTTTTTTTTTTTAATAAAAAAGAAAAAATATTGTCTTGTTTGTGATAATAAACTTTCAAAATATTATGAAATAATAAATGTTAATTTCATAACTACTCATATGATTCAATTGATTATTCAACATGAAAAATAAAAAAAGGTGATGTAATTGATTTAATTATTTATATATTTTTGAATGGTTTATAGTCTTTTCTATTCTCTTTCTAATCTTCAAGCATATAAATAAGTTTGATTGTTAATTAATTTATGTAGATGTATTTTGTAGAGATTTAAAAATTATTTGAAGTTGTTATTTTTTATATCCACTTTATTTAATAGTGAATTCATTTTTTCTATCATCTTTTTTTTTCAATTCTACTATTATTATTATTTTTTATAACATGTTATCAACACGAAATTTTAACCAACCGAGATAATAGATCATGAGATATAAATATATATAAAACTCAATCTTTTGTTTCAATCATTGGATTGTTTTTCTATACGAGTGTTCTATCAAAAGATCTAAATTATTTTTATCATTAAGAGGTATATATATAATTTATCATTTACTTTAAATCTAATGATCTAATGTATGTTGTTTGAAAAGTTTAAATTTTATTATTATATTTTTTTATTTTCTATTATTATTATTATTATTATTATTATTATTATATCTTTTATTATAGAATTTTGATCATATCAAATCTCACAAAACTTGATTTTGTGGCCCTTGACATTTTGAGCAAGGATTATTGATCATTGGTACATGATGTTGAGAAAACATTTTCTACTTTTCATGTCTCGAATATGCTCATATATTAGTAATTCGAGAAAGAATTTTAAGAAATATTCTCAATTAATTTCATGCTTGCTTATGGATAATAGCTATTGATAAAAAATCATGAATCTCGTCCAACTCGGGTATACTCTATTTCTTGGAGTGAATGTCACAATTTATAACAATTATGGGCGTGGATGAAGATATGGTCATGGACATGGACGTGGATATAGTTATAGTCGTAGTCGGAATAACTATTTTTATAATCATGATGACTATAATAATGCATATCACCACCAAAAGTTAATAAACTATATAAAAAAAAACAAAAGAAGAATAAAAATAAATCAAGTTATCATTATGAAAATATATATTATAAATATGCCATGAAGGGACATTAGTGACGTACTTATTGTACACCAAAGCATCTTATTGAACCTTATCAAGCCTCGTAGAAAAAGAAAGAGTAAAATATAAATGTCAATTTTATATATCAAAATGATGATAATTAAAATTAATAACTTATTAGCTCGTTATTTATATATAAGATATTTTATATTTTCTTATAATTTCTATTACAGAGTGATAGTTACAAAATTATTTTGCTATTTATTTATTTGTTTTTATGAAGTATACATTTATTTTTTTGTGTTTATTTAATTATTTATTTTGAGTTAATATTACATCCGATAGTATCAATTTAATAAAAAACTCCGGAAGAGCGACTATATCACCCGAGAGACAAATTTTGAAGGCTTTAAAATAACTAATATATTATTACTTGAAGAGAAAAACTTTAAAGCATCTAGAAAAACGAATATATCATTACTTGAATGGATAAATTTTAAAAGCTCAAGAAGAGCAAATATATTATTACCTAATATGATAATTTGATTATAAATGATGCATTATTCTCTTTAAAATCTCATAGAAATTTATTGAGTTTCAAAGATATTCATCTACATGGATATCAAATCAAGACAATAAATGTAAAAAATATCAAATACTTATATATTATAATTATTATATCGAGTAAAAAATACGTATTAGAGAAATTACTCGCTTTCTCTTTTAGATGATTGAAACAAATGATATAATAAATCAAAAGTTTATTAATTTAAATACTTTTATTATGTGGTATAACCGGTTATGTTATCTTAGGTCTTTTATTATGCGAAAAATTATTAAAAATTCATATGGATATCTATTGAATAGCTAGAAGATTCTTGAATTTAATGAATTTTTATGTTCCGTATGTTGTCAAGGTAATTTGATTATTAAGTCATCACTAAGTAAAATTAAGATTGAATGTCTAGTATTTTAGAATGCATTCAAGGTGATATATGTGGACTAATTAATCCACTATGTAGACCATTTAGATATTTTATAGTTTTAATAGATGCATCAATAAGATGGTCATATATATGTTTATTATCTATTCGAAACCCGACATTTTCGAGGTTGCTAACTCAAATAATTCGATTACGAGCACAATTTCTAGATTATCCTATTAAAATAATTTGCCTTGGTAATGCTTCGTCGAATTTATTTTTTAAACATTAAATGATTATTGATTGATTATTAAATAAAGTTTGAATTACCTATTGCTTATGTTAATAATCGAAAGCTCTAGCAGAATCATTTATCAAAAAAACTTATATTAATAGCTAAACCATTACCGACGAAAACAAAACTCCATATTTATGTTTAGGGACATGTAATCTTATATATAGAAACATTTATTTACATCGGACTCATAAGTTATTAGAAATTCTCCCCATTTAATTTGTTTCTAGTCATGAACTAAATATTTCTCATCTAAGAATTTTTAGTCGTATAGTATATATCCGTAGTGCTCCTCCACAATGAACTAAACAAAGCTCTTAAAGAAAATTAAGAATATATGTTGGATTTGAATCCTCTTTGATAATTAAATATCTTGAACCATAAATAAGAGATATTTTTATAGCTTGATTTATCAACTATTGTTTTGATGGAATAATTTTTTTCAAAATTAGGAGAGAGAATAGGTAAAATAAGCGAGTTAAAATATTGAAAAAAGGATTACATGGAGTACTCTATCTTTACATTATCTTGATCCTTATACAAATTAATGTGAACTAGAAGTTCAGAAAATAATTCATTTACAACATTTTACAAATCAACAATCAAATGCATTCTCGGATCTAAAAAGAGTAAATAAAATGTATGTCTCTGCTGAGAATTTTCCTATTAAAATTGATGTCCTAAGACTATTAACGTTATAGCAAATGAATCTACAAGCACGCCTAAAGTGCAAAAGACCGATCTATTCTAAAGATAAAATCCTCAAAAGAAAAAGACAAATAATTAAGAAAAAAATATATAAAAAATGCAAATATTCATAAAATGGTCTAAGATATTTTTAATAATAGGCTTCTAGAAGAAGTCCAAATGCTTGAGAAAAATCAAAAGACTTTGATAAATTATGTCAATACAGGAAGAAAATAGGATCGAAAAGAAACATTTATTAATAATATTTTTGCATATAATGTTGAATTGATATTTTGAATGAATATAAGGATCCTTAGTGTAAATTTAATGAATAATATCAACATAAATATGATTGACCTAAATCAAAAGAACAATCTAGACAAAATTATATTATCTTGCAAATGAGTAGTTTTTGAACCTATAACCAAAACATTTGAAGATGTTGAGCTAGTGGGATACAAATGGGCATTTGTGCGAAGCCAAAATAAGAAAGATTAGATTGTGAGATACGGAGCAAGATTTATAACACAAGATTTTTCATAAAGATCCGACATTGACTATAATGAGATGTATTCTCGTATAATGGATGCAATTACATTTCCTTATCTAGTTATTCTGAAAAAATATATGAAAATTTTCGTATATATGCATTTAATGGATGTGATCACAACTTATTTGTTCACTTGAAAATTATATCTATATGAAGTCCTATAAAGACTTAAAATGCCTAAAGCATA